CTCAGAAAATTTCTTGGCGTTACATGTAATTTTTGCCGAGATAGGAGGGGTCGGATACTTATGATTTGTACTGTATTCTACCATATTTACGGATTAAATTTTGAATATACTTCCTAGTTGAGAAATTTATACATTTTATAGAATATAACTGTTTGATGACTTTAGATGGTGCGCACCATAGAAGGCAGATATTAAAAATCTACTCGCTGGGAATTGTAGACCGAATCTATATGCACAATTACCAGAGGATATTTTTTTGTTTACATATATAAAGTAGCAACACTTCAAAAATTTTTTCGAGTCTAAGACTCGGGCACCAACAAATAATCAAAAAGCACCTTATTTTTGTTTGTGTAATACGTACTACTTTTTTCGGACCACAACAACTTTTTTTTCAGGTTTAATAAATCAAATAATGCAGTTTTTTACTGACGTAGGATTAAAAAAAGAAAGTATAATCATAATTAATACTCAATAGAACTACACACAATGACATGGGATGTTTACTTTGACGAAACTCCGCTTGAAACGTACCGTTTTCTGGGCTATTAAAAGTATGGCCAAGATGATTTCACATTTCGTTTCGAACAGATTCCGGAAGAGTCTGAACCTGCTGATGAAGGAAGGTTCGGAAGAAGTTGATCGGTTGAAACGAAGCTTTGAAGTAAGTTATATATTTTGTGGACAGTTGATAGACAGTATGGTCCTAGTAGGGTAAAACTCACACAACTACGGTGGGCACGAAAAACATTCCTTGAAATCTATGGTAGATAATTATTACCACTTATACCTGTATCAATAATAAATAGGATTAAATGCTAGAGAGAAATTATGTATGTATATCGATATCTTTGTAACAAACAAATAACGATGATTTTTTGATGAAAATAAAGTGTTATATATCGAGCAATTAAATTGAACACTTAGATTGTGTCTATGAATTATTGATATGATTATGAGAATAATCAAAAAGTTATGTCTATAATAAGAAATAATATAGTCAAGTCAAACTCGACCATGGTACAGTAGGAGCATAGTAAAAAATTTTGCAAATATTGTTCTATCGAGAATTTATTATAAAAATCATTGTATCGAGGAAAGTTTATTAGAGGTTGTCATCATTATGTATATCGAGTTTTAATTCTCTATGAGAAAAGCTGGTCGATACTACGGAATTTTCTGGAATGGCTAAGGAATTCCAAGAACTGTTCATAAACTTGCTGGAACTAGCTTCCAAATATACGAATAATTGCGTATTTTCCGAATCAGTTCCTGAAATTGCGCTAATTCCGAGGTAATTTCCTGCGATGTTTTCACATTGATTAGTATCATTATATCAGGCTGCGACTGTATAAATTTAATCAATATTTATTTTGACTTCAAATAAATGCTAAATAATTTTTGTAATTAACAATTCTCGTTTTCTAAATATTTATAAGTTGGTTTATGATATATTAAAGTACTGGTACTATAGAACTGAGTTTTCAAACAGTTTCAA